AGCGTTTAGGGGTTTAGGGTTTAGGGTTTAGGGGTTAGGGTTTCAGACGGTTTGGGGTTTAGGGTTTTGAGGGGTTTCGGGTTTTGCATAAAGTCTTTGCAGGATTTGAAAGGGCTTTCTAGGGCTTCGGGTTTAGAGTTTCGGGTGTTGCGGTCTTTTCGGGTCTTAGGGGTTTAGAGGACGTATGGGGCTTTGAGAGGAGAACTTCGGATTCCAGCGTTTTGGGTTAGGGTTTAGGGTTTAGGGTTTGGGGTTAGGGTGTCTGTCTCTAGGGTGAAGCGAGCGCGTATCGACCTGCTTCCGGTAGCTAGCGCATGATCCGTTCCGGTAGAGCTGTTCCTCAGAGTTCTCTCTCATATCCATGGTATACTATACCCCAACACCATTCTAATAATTAAGGCCCTTGCTGCAACTAATACTACAGCAACCTGAAGTCTTTGCCCAAGGCTGCGCCTACTGCTGCTGCTTCCGCGGCAAGACGCGGACGGACTAAGCAGCAAAAAGAGATCCGAGCAGATCCTGCCTTCGTGCGCGTAGAGTCTCCGTTTGCATATCGACCTACCTGTCTACCTTCCTACTGGCTACCTTTCTGCTGTGTATGCTTGTATACGTACATCTATACAAACCGACACACCACCAGTAACAGGTGCGCTTTATCCCGCAGTCTCTGCCGAAAATTGCCGAAACGAATCAACTGGCTTCTGCTGTGCTGCTGCTGATGTTTTCGAAAGGAGCGTAAAACTAACTCCACCTTACACCCTAAACCCCAAACCCCAGGCTCTTACACCCGAAATCCGAAGCTGTACGGTTTCAATAGAACTCCCCTGCAATCCACAGCCAGGGAGTCTGCCCAGGAGAAGCCCTGCGAAACTCTGCAAACCTCCCGAACGCCAACTTTATGGGGCCTGGGAAGTTAGTAGCGGCATTCCTTCGGATTCCCTAGTATCTCTATAATTCTAGGTCACAGCCCCCAAAACGTTAGTCTAATCATTCCGGGCACCCCCGAAGTATGTGTAGGGTCCAGTTCAGGGTTTCAGACAGATTTCAGTCTTTGAGGGTTCGGGGATCGATCTCTATGCCCGCCAGCCGGCCCACGAAGCAAACCAATAATTACCCTAAGCCAGTACGAAGAATGAGCACCCCGTGTGAACGCTTCATTCAAAGCCAACCCTCGACACAATCCCAGAAAGCTTTCATACAACCCTCTTGAGAATCCACTAAAGCTCGACGACATGCCAGGAAAATCTCGGAGACTAAACCCCAGACCCTGAACCCTAAACGCCAAGCCCAGAACCCTACAGCCTAAAGCCTGAACCCTAAACCCCAAGCCCAGAACCCTAAAGCCTAAACCCTAAACCGTAAAGCCCAAGCCCAGGACCCTGAAGCCTAAAGACCCTAAAATGCAGAACAACGAAGCTAAGGTGTGGACTCTTTCCACGAGTCCCCCCTAGGACAGGTCGGCTGGGTGCCCAGGTGTGCTGAGAAAAGGGGAGGCTTAAGGTTAAGAGCTTAGGGTACCTATAGTTCTTCTAAGGGAACCATAAAAGTACCATAGGGGCTTCGGGATTCATAGCTCAGTCAGGGTGTTAGGGTTTAGAGTTTTGGGCTTTGGGGTTTTCTGCTTTAGGATTAAGGCTTTCGGGCTTATAGGGTCTTTCGGTAGGGTGTGTATTCTGGGATTCTAGTGTTTGGGGTTTAGGGTTTAGGGTTTAGTGCTTTCTAGGATTCTGGCAACTCGGTTACGTACGAAGACGGAGTAGCAGGCACAAAAGACACAGTCTGAATTTCTAGTTACTTGGTCCACCAAAACAGACAAATTGTAAAAAGTGGTTGTGAGGGTGATATTGAGGAACCCTACTAGGTACCAGGATTTGCAGCATGTACGAGGTTTTAGGATCTTTTGTGGGCTCATGGGGTTTTGCTAGGCTCTCATAGGGTTGATTGGGAGTCTCCGGACTGTAGGGCTGATGAATCTATGGATATTATGGGGATGTCCTGGGCTTCTTCATGACTTTTCAGAGGATGTTGAGGTGATTTTGGGGGGTCTCGATGGTGCTTACAGGGCTTGCAGGGTTGTCTGGGGATGTTGCGGCGGGGGGAGGGGGGGGGGGTTGCGCAGGGTGCCTTGCCTAGAAAAGACCCTGCTGAGGTACGCAGCTTCGTGAGAAGATCTTGCAGTCCCTTGCCAAAGCCCAGGAGACGGGGACTCGGTGTTTCGAGCTTTTTCAGCTTGAGAAATGCTGAGCTAAACCCTATAAGGCTGAAAGCCCCGCTTGCTTTAAACCCTAAACCCCGGGCATTGAAGCCTAAAAAATGGGGCCTCCACATTTAGAATAGGCTTCTGGGGCCCATTATACCAAAGTTGCAATGAGGGAACCCCCCAGGAATTGGTATTCGTAATTATTTAGGCCCCTACACTAACCCAAAAACCGAAACCTCCGTGTGTAACTGCGTGGCTTGCCTCGGAGGGTCCCGGGCCACTGAGCTCCCACTTTGCCGAGGCCGCCACCTGCGAAGCAGAAGAAGACCTTGCCGCCACCCGAGGACCGCCCGCGCGCGAAGCGCGGTGGCAAGAGGCCACGAGCCTTCTGGGAGGTTTGGGGCGTTTGGGGTTTGGGTTTTGGGAAGGGGTTAGAGGCTCGTGCGCTTTCTTGGGTGGAGAGCTTGCTGTCTTGATGGTCAGTGGAAGTTGAGCGCATCTCTTACGGCATCATGTGATTGAACTTCGTTAATCCTCAGCTTGGAGGGTTCTTTGTGCCCCACCGCCCGGGAGAGATTTTCAGCATCTCCGGGAGCTGTTGTTTGCTGTGCATGGTCTGATTCTGGAGGTATCCACTTACATAGTGCCCTCAGGGTAAGGCTTTATAGGGTTTAGGATTTAGGGATTTCTGCGAGTCGTCTCCATCGTCGTCTCCGGCTGTCTAGAGCCATGGCCTTTCTCCTTGCGGCGCTTCTCTCGCTGCCTTTGGCAGCAGCCAAGTGCATCTCGGTGGAAAGCAGGACAGGAGAGGCCTTAGAAGCTGGAATGGGGTTCAGGGCATAAAGCGACTTGTGCAGTGACCCTAGGGGGATACTACGGCTCCTCATTCAGGCCATAGTACATGAGGACGGGATGGCCGATTGCTGGATTTCAGGCTTTCGGGGTGATTCGGTTCTTCTTTGGGCAAAGCTTCCGAGAGCATTCCGAGGTGCATAAGGGGCCCCAAAACCCTATTCTAATTACTAGGGACCCTACATTATCCTGGGTTGGTGCACTTTGGCCAAAAACCCTCCGCTGGCTCGTGCCACCCCTACACAACCGTGACCCTGCTTCAGGCACTATTAAGATAGCATAGGGATAGTATGGGGGGGCTGGTTAAACAGAATAGGGTATTATGAAATATAGTATAGGGATAGTATAGGGGCCTGGATACACAGACTAGGGTGTTGGGGCTTATTCTACGATGACCATGCCAATTTTGGTTCTTAAGGCCCCTTTGGCCTACAAATCCGCATGACAGTCGCTCAGTAGCTCGCATGAAGATCCTGCGCCTGCAGCTCTGCAAAATCCGGATGCAAGCAGATCATGAGATCCCATGACAGTCCGGAAGGAGGCCTTGTAGAGCCTTCTGCCCTATAGCCTTCGAATATGTATATAGTCGTTTGAATTTAAACCTCAACCCTGAGCCCTAAAGCCTAAACCCTGAGCCCCGAGCCCTCCTGAAGACGAGAGGCACCCATGCCATCGTCGGTGGAGGTCCAGGTGGTGCCAGGCCCTTAGAACGACCGAAGTGCTTGGGCTTTTCGGTTGAGGGATTAGGGCTCAGGGTTTGGGTTAGTACAGAGATTGTTTTGGCCCTTTTTCTTCGCCCCCCCCCCCCTCTAAACCCCTAAAGCGAAACCCGAAATCCTGAGCCTTTGGGGCCTCTTGAAGGGTTGGGTTGATGGTTGAGGGTTTAGGGGTTGAGGGTTTAGGGTTTAATGTGACCTCCTGACTGATAAAGTCCCCCTCAATAGAGCTAAACAGCTAAACTCGGCCCTGCACACGATAGTGGAAAGCCCCCTCAATAGAGCTAAACTCGGTCTGCGCGTAATAATAAACTGCCCCTGAATAGTCGTAAATTCCCGTTCCGTTTTTTCGTTTTAAGGTTTAGGGAAATAGACACTGCTACTACAAGCTGACGCTGTGGAAGAGCAGAGACGGAGACAGGCAACATAAACTGGGTTCTGGAGTACCATGCTTGAATACTTATTTTGGGACCTGTTCCTGAAGGGAACCACTATGAAATTAAAGTCTATACTTTTTACTCCCTGGTTACTTCAAAGTCTAGTAAAGGAGGCAGAGGAGAGATAACTATACTACGATGTACTGCTGTACTACTGTACTACTACATCTAATACTAGCTACTATACTATACGACTGTACCAATACTGAGAGCCCCGGCCCCCAAACAACGAACAAAGCCGCCACTATTCCGGATTTCAGGTTGTTCGGGGGGGGGGGGGGCTATTAATCAGGAGACTACATTGGGGGCTTAGGGGTTTAGGGTTCAGGGTTTAGGGGTTTAGGGGTTTAGGGTTCAGGGGTTTAGGGGTTTAGGGGTTGGGTTTCCAAGCATCTTGAAGTGGAGCCGACGCAGAGGATCCTGCATCTCCCTCGCAACAGGGGCCCTTGCGATCGGTTTAGGGTCTTTGGGCTTGGGGTTTTGGGGTTTTGGGTTCATGATTTGGGTTTGAGTTTGTCAGCTCAGGCTTCGGCGGCTTTAGTTTTGGGGGGCGGGGTTTTGGGCTTGGGAGTTTCTGCGCCCAAGCCTGTCAAGGGACATCACAAGTGAGGTGGTTCCGCGAATCGTAGGATCAACGGTGATGCTTCATGCCCTGGATGCATCGGGCCAGGGACGTGATAGAAAAGATAGCAAGGCAAGATTTCACCAAAATTCTGTAATGACTGATATCTCAGCATACTCATATGTCATAGCCAACTCCTCATTCTCCCGCTCCATCATCAGCAGCAGCAAACGATGAACGACGCCTGGGCACTGTACGCGGTGGCGGGCGCAGAGTCCGTCTTCTGGCTTGCCGATCCGCTTGGTGTGCACACGGCTATGAATAAGGGCAAGCCGACGCCCTGGGGCGGACGCATCGCTGCTGCGACCATCAACGGCGGCAGCCATGCCCTCTTTGCGTATGCCCTCATGAAGGCCAAGATGGGAAACACGGCTTGGGCCAACGTGGCCGCGGGTATGGCACCCTTCTTGGCGGCAGTGAACTGGGGCCAGTGGGTGTTCTGGTGGTGGCCCTACGTCCTGGGCAAGGCTGCAGGCACCCGTGAGATGATTGAAGAGCACATCGAGGAGTTGAAGGAGTTGCCGCGTATCCTGCCGGGTGATAAGACGAAGCACCTCGTGCCCGACATCGAGCACACGCTCCTGCAGCCTCTGACACTCATGGCGCTGTATCAGGCGGCGCAGTTGGCACCGTATGTGCAGCCGACGGGCACGGGCAAGATTGCCTTCTGTGGCGTCGGCGTGCTCTCGTTGCTTCTGCCGGTGATGATGCTGGCAAAGAGCAAGACCCCTCTGGAGGAGCGCAGCTCTCAGCTCGTGCTGCTGCAAATCTTGGGCACTCTGGCATACTTTTTCAAGTCCTTCGATAAGGCTTGATCAAACAAAAACATATTCGTCCAAGCTTGAACAGGGCCCCATGGGGCCGCTTCAGAGGCAGGCTCTTTCGCGTGCATACGTTTCACCACGTGAATCGCCGCACGCCGACGGAAAGCCTAAAGACCTCCACCGGCTTACTGCAACGAACCAATATAGCTTTCATCCCCAACTTACCTCAAGGCCAAGAGCATCCGAAACCTATGCCCCTCCCGCATCTAGGTCTATACAGCTTGGCGCTTGGTCACGTCCCTCCCAGATGCAGAGGCTGGCTGAATCGGGTTCCGAACTGTCACAGCTCCATGCTGCTCTGAAGCCTAGCGGTTTCTGGTTTAGGGTAGGGGTTTACCGTAAGGTTTAGGGGTCACTATAAGGGTTTACTACGTCTTTGTCGGGAGTAGGATTCAGGGTTTAGGGGTCAAGCTCTCAACAGCATATCTTTTAGATAGAACAATAATTCAGGGCTTCTGGTTGACGCCTTTGTGTTCATGGAGTTTCCGCAATCCCAGTCTTGGGAGTCACAAGCCCCATACCCCCAAAATCCCTCAAGCCCCAAACCCTCAATCCCCACACTATTGCTGAGGTTTGTGCAACTCTCCACTCGGTTTTTGAATTTGAGTCAAAGTGTAGCGCACTCTTCTTGTTCATGATATCTTGAGGAGTTATTCTGAGATATGCAGTGTGTTTGTTGGGATTCCTAGTTGTTCGAAATGGAACGCCCCTCCATGTCATCTTTACGTGCTCGCAGAACCGCGTCTGCAGTGCACCGTAGCTGGACGTAGAAGCTTGGAATGTGAAAACCTCTGCTGTAGTGTCTCAAACAGATGCGACGAGCACAGGTGGAATTGAAAACCTCTTTTACAAGGTCTCGTGTTCGGGATTCCCGGACATACCACCTACCACCCTAATTACACCCCAACGCCTACCTCTGAGTCCCAACCACAACTCCTCACCCCCTGAACGCTCAAGCTTTTAAAAATCACAGAACCCTTGTAGAATCTCATTTTTTTTAGAGCCCTTATGGCGCCTTACAGAACCCCTAGCGATCAAACCCCTTTAAGGAAAGCCCTAAACCCTACACTCTAGTTCCTAAACTCCTTTAACCCCAAAGCCCTCAACCCGTAAACCCTACAGCCTACACCCCGCACCGCAAAAACCGTTCTCCTTGAAAGCCTCGAGCCCTAAACCCTAAACCCTGAGAGGTCTGCCTCTTCGAGCGATCCAAACGCCTAGGCCCGGGAAGCGGTGAAGGGACAAACTTCACCTAGGCGACCTTCGGTCTAGGGTAACTGTGTGCATGCGTGTGATTTGTGATTTGGGGGGGCTTGCGGCTTGTGCTGGGAGGTTCTTCAGTCCTTACCCTGAAAACCCTAAACCCTACACCGTTTAGATACAGCCCTCTATATACATATATATATATATATATAGATATCGATATCGATATATATATATATATATATATATATATATATATATATTCTCACAGTCTCTGAATCTGTCAAGCCCCCAGGGCCCTCTTCATCAAGCCTCCAATCCCCGCAGATGCAACCTGGT